AGCCATCTTCAAGAAACAGCTAAAAACACATCTCTTCCATCTATATTTGACCCTCTAACTCTAGCACTCTCTATTGTAATTCTATTTTATCTATTTGTTGACTTGACCCTCTAACACTTGCACTCTCTATTCCTTTTCCAACTGCTTGTTTTCTTTAAAAAAGGCCTCTAAAACTTTCTCTATTCTTTTTCTATTCTATCTACTTGTTTTCTTTTTGTTATGTGTATGTATGTGTAAAGCGTCTGCTAAATGATAAATAAATAAATAAAAAGGGCCTCTAAATATACCAATACAAGACAACATAGGAGACAAGAGAGTGTGATGTTAACATCCTTGTGGAATCTGCTGTATAAAAATATGACATAATAAAGCTAAAACAAGAGACATTTCTTAACTTGATTCTGGCATTTGTTACATAACATTACCATTCAAAAGTTTGGGATTACTATGATTTGGGACAGGAAAGAGTTGTACCTGCATATGTACTTTCAGGTTTGGAAGTATCTGCTATTGATGGTAACATCTTCTATCAGCTTCCACAAACAAATGCCTGTAAGCTCTGACAACATGGTATCTAAAGGAGATTTGTCCAAGTGGCCTTACTTAGCAAAGGTTAAAGTTCCACGTATAATGGCTAAAGTTGAGTTGTTGATTGGAAACAACGCTCCCAAGATGTTGGAGCCCTGGAAAGTCATAAATAGCCATGGGGATGGCCCTTATGCCATAAGAACGGCATTAGGTTGGGTCATCAATGGTCCTTTGAATGCAGGCAGCTTTGAGATTGAAGACTGTTCGGCAGTGGTTAACAGGATTTCTGTGTGCAGACTGGAGGAGATGTTGCTTAAACAATACAACCATGACTTCAGTGAGCGAGCTGTAGAAGAGCAAGGATTGTCAAGAGAGGATATTAGATTCTTGGAGATTGCTGAGAGTTCTGTCAAGCTTGAGGACAATCATTATACCTTGAAGTTGCCCTTTAAAAAGGAAAATGTGTATCTTTCTAACAACTTCTCTTTGGCAAAACAGTGGATACTTGGATTGAAGAAGAGATTCCAGAGAGATGAGCAGTTTTATCAGGAGTATGTAACATTTGTCAAAGAAATGATTAACAAAGGATATGCAGAGCAAGTGTCCACTCAGCAGCTGAAAGGAGACAGCGGCAAGGTGTGGTACATTCCTCACCATGGTGTACGTCATCCCAGGAAGAGGAACCTGCGGGTGGTTTTTGATTGTGGTGCGGCATTCAAAGGAACATCATTAAATCAAGTGCTTCTGCAAGGTCCCAATTTTACAAGTACATTGCTTGGTGTTCTCCTAAGGTTTAGGCAGGAGTCGGTAGCTGTCATGGGAGACATACAGGCAATGTTTCATCAGGTTAGGGTGGCAGAAGAGGACCGGGATTTCCTCCGTTTCTTGTGGTGGCAGAATGGAGATTTTACAAAAGAAGTGTCAGTGTTTCGCATGACTGTCCATCTTTTTGGGGCTGTCTCCTCTCCAAGTTGCGCTGCCTTTGCTTTGTGAAAAACAGCAGATGATCATCAATGTGAATTCCATGAGGAGGTTGTACAAACTCTCAAAGATAATTTTTATGTAGATGATTGCCGTAAGAGTGTGGCATCTGAAGAAGAAGCAGTTTCTTTAGTTCAAGACCTTTCCAATCTCTGTCAGCAAGGAGGTTTTACTCTGACAAAATGGATTAGCAATAAGCGCATTGTTCTGCAAAACCTTCCTGAGGAGTGTCGAGCCAAAGAGTGGAAGGAGTTGGATCTGGACAAGGACAGCTTGCCTGTTGAGAGAGCTCTTGGTTTGTTGTGGTGTGCGGAAACTGACTCATTTAAGTTCAAAATGGAGATTCAGGAGAAGTCCTGCACAAGACGTGGAATGTTGTCGGTGTCCAGTTCAGTATACGATCCACTTGGGTTTTTGTCACCAGTAGTGCTACCTGCTAAGATCATGTTACAGGAGCTATGCCGGAGGAACGTTGGATGGGATGAGACTGTGCCCCATGACATCTTGCGTGGCTGGACATGGTGGTTGAAGGAACTGAATGCACTCTCTGAATTCAAGGTTGAGAGATGCATTAAGCCTATGATTTGTGGGTCCTACATACATGCGCAGCTTCATCATTTTTCAGATGCAAGCGAACAAGGATATGGCACAGTCACTTACCTTAGAATCCAGAATAGCAACGGTGACATCCATGTTTCATTCCTCGTGGGCAAGGCCCGAGTAACACCTTTAAAGGCCATCACTGTTCCCCGCTTGGAGCTAACTGCAGCTGTTCTTGCTGTCCGTGTTGATCTAATGCTAAAAAAAGAGCTGAGGCTCCAGCTGCAAGAATCAGTCTTCTGGACAGACAGCACATCTGTGCTCAAGTATGTCATGAATGAGGACAAGCGTTTTCATACTTTTGTTGCCAACAGAGTCTCCATCATCAGGGAAGCCACAAAGACATCACAGTGGCGATATGTTGGCACAAAGGAGAATCCAGCTGACGATGCATCCAGAGGAAGGAGGGCTGGAGATTTTATCAAGAACAACAGATGGATAGAAGGACCCAAGTTTCTGTACAAACCAGAAGAGGATTGGCCTGTAAATATGGTGGACACTGAAGTAGGGGTTGATGACCTTGAGGTTAAGAAGGAAGCTTTTGTGAATGTGGTAAATACTCAAGGCTCACTAAAGAGTACAAATAGGTTGATGGCTTACTTTTCAGACTGGAGGAGACTTTGAGTATCAGTTGCCTGGTTGCTTAAGTTAAAGAGAATTTTGTTGAGAAGGATTTGCAAGAGGAGAGAGTCAGATACTGCTGATGCCAACAAGCAGAGTGCCCTGGTGCAAGGGAATCAAATAGCTAAAGGTGCAACAGGAGGACAAACCTTGTCGGCAGAGGATCTTATGGAAGCCGAGATGGCTATAATCTGCTATTGCCAACAGCAAAGATTGCCTGAGGAGATCGCTGCTTTGTCTTCTGGAAAGGATACAGTGAGCAAATGGAGTGCCATCTATAAGTTGGATAACGGGCTTCTGAGAGTCGGAGGGCGGCTGATACGGGGTTCGTTGCCAGAAGACACAAAACATCCGCTACTCCTCACTAAAGATCAGCATGTGGCTACCCTCATATTGATGGATTTACATCAACAGCTTGGCCATAGTGGGCGTAATCACATGTTGTCTGCATTAAGAAGGAGGTATTGGATCACGGGTGCCACCTCAGCTGTGAGGAAGATCGTAGCAGAATGTTGCTTCTGTAAAATATATAATGGGAGGATGATGGGGCAGAAGATGGCTGACCTGCCTAAGGAGAGGATTCTGCCGGACCATCCGCCATTTACCAACACAGGCGTTGACTATTTTGGACCAATAGAGGTGAAGAAGGGAAGAGGCATAGTGAAACGCTATGGTGTCATCTTCACCTGCTTGGCCAGTAGAGCTGTTCACCTTGAACTGGCCAATTCTCTTGACACAGATGCCTGTATTAATGCTCTGTGCCGATTTATCAGTAGAAGAGGGCAAGTGGAGCATCTTCTTTCAGATAATGGCACAAATTTTATAGGAGCAGAGAGGGAACTTCGGGAGGCACTTTCATCATTGAATCAGGCTAAGATTCAAGGAGTTTTATGTCAGTACAAAAAATGCTAACCCCTAAACCTACCCCACACCTGACCCTAACCTTAACCAGTGAAATTGACTGCACTGCGGGATTGGCGCTGAATAGCGTGGTAAAGAAAGATGCCGTTCAGGAGATAAACAGTTAATAAGATTATGCGATACGAGATCGTTCGGTAACTCCCCAATCGGACCTCACCGGACAATGGCACCTTTTTAGTTGCACCCAGCATCACTACCCCTCCTACCCTGCGAATCTCGAGCCCCGGGACGCCCCCGTTGCTTCGAACAAAGGGATAAGAGTAAAATCTTTCCCCTGCGCTGAGCTGACTGCTAGCGGGAGAGCTCGTGGGTGATTCCCGTTTACGTCATGAAGCAGAGGTTCAAACTCCAGTCTGAACACCACTGGCCACTGAGCTTTGGGCTCTGCTCTCACGGAGAATATTTATTTATATAGCATATTTTATTTTAGATCAACTAGAAACAACAATTGGCTGGAGCCAGAGCCAATGGTGAAAGTCTTTGCGCGAGGAGACCCCGCCCCATTTTGGAGGTTCTGCCCACTTTTGGAGTTCACGCCCCATTTTGGAGATCTCCGGTCTGCAGTTATCAATAGTATGTTCCTGCACAACCGGAGGCCGCAGTTCTAGGACCGCAGTTCTAGGACCCTATGCTTTTGTAACAGCGCCACCTACCGAATTCGATCACTAAAGATGGACGACATGGACAGCAATCAGAGTGAGTAACTTTACCGATTTTAAATTAAGTTTTATTTTATAACCTTAAAACGATGCAAAGTTTACGTAGCCAACTAGTATATACAGTATATAAATATGCATTCTTGAATCATTCTTGAGTCTTGTGTCTTGCCTCTCTACAAACTTTTAAATATCTGGCTGTAATTTAGTGACTGCAAATGCTGATTTCATTTGATTCCATTTTTATTATACCTGATAATGAGCTAGTTAAACTTAAGGGGGCTAATCAATATACAGTATATTTCAAGAAACTTAAGACTTAAGGTACTCCACTTTTTCAGCTGTTTAAAGACTGAAATATATTTTTAATTTATATTTTAAGTGTAGTATCCAATTCGGTAGGTGGCGCTGTTACAAAAGCATAGGGTCCTAGAACTGCGGTCCTGAAACTGCTGCCTCCGGTTGTGCAGGAACACCCTTCTCGCAGTTATACCTACTTGAAAATCTCGGAAACCGATAATCTCGTAACACCGGTAGATGGCAGTCTACTAAAACGGACAGGCAGAAGAAGGAAGAATATTCTGTATTTCTTTCTTCCAAATTTATGCACACTCCACACTCCAGATCAGTAGGTGGCGGTAATGCACCTCTTTCGCTGGTTTGCCAAACCGCCATAAAACACCAGAAGAAGAAGAAGAAGAAGGAAGAATATTGGCCCTCACTGGTCACTGTAGAGGTGGCGGGAACATGAAACAAGTTAGGGACAGTCACTAACATCTCTGTTATGTAACGTTAGTTAAATCGCATGACTATTATTATCCTAACAGAAAACGTCTTTTAAGTTGAATTTCACTCAGAGGAGAATGTAAAACAGGCGGAATCTGATAATGGACGCGGTGCGGTGCAGTGTGGAGTATTTATCAGAGTTCAGTGACTGTCAGTCACACTTAGTGCGCGTTATTCAGGACGGCGTGAATCTTTTCTTGACCCGCGGAGACCGAGATGTGCTCATATTCAATATCCAGGAGAGGAGAGTCACGGCAAGTGGACGTTTGTTCTCACTTTTGTGTTCAACTATACTACTTTTCTGTCTCCATTCTCACTAAATACATGTTGTTTTTCAGACCGTGATGCTGTTTGAAGCCTCAGTGATAAATTTTGCATTAAGTGACGATAAACATCGACTTTATGCACTTTGTGCGAACGGTGGGCTTTACTGCACCCCTTTACCACCACAGCTCAGGTAGTAATATATAGATTATATACAGATTACTGTTTCCGCGATAAATGATCACTTGCTATTAAATATGTATGTACGTGTGTAATTTAATTACAGCAAATAAACGTACGTATTTATTGGAAAACAGACCACCAATACTGATGATTTATGTTGCACTACACAATTTTTTGTCCAATCGAATGCTTTTAAGAATGAAAATTCTGAACTTGTTAGCAACTGTAACCAAGGGGCGGTGCTTAGTAATTTGCAATTAAATTCAATGATTAATATTACTTGTTGAATTCACGTTTTGTTTTATTAAATAAACTAAATACAGTCATAATATGAAGTCTCCTAGCTGAGTTGCTATAAAGACATTTCTTTCTTCCCATTGGAAATTTGACCATAAATCCCAGATAGTACAGGTACGTCTGCAAGACGTCTGTTAAAGATCTCTTCATCTGGAAAGCATCTGCTGTTTACAAACTTCTGATAAACGTCTTTAAGATGTCAGTTTTACCTACATTCTAAATCATAAACATCTTAAAGACATTTTCTAAACGTCTATTTGACATCTGATAGCAAACGTCCTATACATGTATTGCACATGAGTAAACTTTATTTAAAAAATAAATAAAAAAAACGTCTTGTAGATGTCAAATAGACGTCTCCGTGATGTACGTGTGCTATCAGGGAATGCACCATCTCAGGAAAGAAAACTATTCATCAAGCAATTTCATTGGGTCTTTAGATTATTTCTAGTGGCATAGATATGCCAATATCTAGAGTAACTTTAATGGTGAATTTTTGGTTTTGTGATTTTAGTTTTCCATGCCTTTTCCCTCCTAGTTCTTCTGTCCGGGTGAACAAAAGTCCTGACAGTGTGCTGTATACTGTACCAGATGATTCAATTGTCCTGAAAAATGCCAGCCTACAAGCGTTCACCATAGTTGAGAAGATCCTTGTGACGCTTAGCCTTCACAAGTCTGTCTGGAGTTTTGATCTCTACGAAGAGACTGGATCCAGACCCCTTCATAAACTTGCATGTTTCCAGGTTGTAACTCTAAACACATGCTGTTTAAACTTAACAGACAAAGAAAAAAGTGTGAGTTCACCTCCAGTATTGACTTGCATCTACCCCGAAGGATCCACATCAGTCAGCACTGACCAATCTGACCTCCGTCCCCATCTTGAGCCCCATCTTTTCAGGCTTTTATTTGGAGTGGACGCCTCTTTAGTCAATTCTCCAGTCATTCTGTGTGGTTTACCTGATGGACATATTTGCTGCTTTCCTTTGCTCGTCCCCAACCTGGCTGGTCCTACAGGAGAGCAGAGATCTCCAGTCAGAGTCCTCCAGAGCTTAGAGCAGCCAGTCGTATTTATTGGAACCTGCATCTCTGGAGAACACGGACCTCAGTGTCTTGTTGCAGTTGGTCAAAGAGGCAAACTTCTAATTGTCAGAAGTAAACAAGCAAGCATGGAAGGAAAAAAGGCAGATTATAGTAAGACTGAATTAAAGTGCTTTCATTACACGTACATTCGCCATTGCCCTAGTCTTTATTTGATTTGAGAGTCAATGATATACAAGAATGTCCACAATAAAGATAAGGAAAAATATATTCAAAATCTAGTAAACATGAGCCAATTTATTGGAGATGTACTCGTTTCGTTTTCACACTGGTCTCATATGGTTTGTAAAACCTTTCTACCATTTTCAGGAAAAGTTTCAGTTTAATGACTGAAAAGATGTCATGTGGTGTGATCATCAAAAACAAAGTAATGAAGTTTTTCCTTGTTTTGAATACATATGCGTGTACATTAATAATTACTTTCAAAAAAGTTTTAAAATATATATTTTCAAGGTATTTTTTAAATCCATTACATGTATTATTAATAAATATGAATACGGTTTTGGAGAGTTAAACCACATGACATTTTACAACCTGACCTAATGTTGCCTTGATTTGGCAGACCAAAAATTGCTAAGCAGTGAAGCAGTTTTTATTAAAATATTTATATAAGAAATAATAGTAAAACATTATGCCAGACTACTTGTGATTTTCTGTTTAGAATAATTTTATTTTTTAATGAAGCTTTTTTTCCCCATCATTTTGCTATCAGGATGGATGTATCTTTTTGACTGTATATCCCTTAAAATATAAAAATTACTGTACTCATACTCATTTTGAATATATTTTTTAATAACTTAAATTAGTTTTGGTAATCTGTAAATTCACTTTTTATAGGCTTCAATGAGCATAGTGTACGAGGACCAGTGCTGTGTGCCTGTGTTGATGATAAGCGGCTGTACTACAGCTCTCTCAATGACCTACACGCTCTTCAGCTCACCACAACATCTTCATCAGAAGCAACAGGAACTGAGTCCCAACTGCAAGCTCTGACCTCTGACAGTCTTGGTGTATGCAGGGCTATAGCACTTGCTGGGCCATATACTAACCCCACAGGTACAGTACATTAATTATGATAAATCTCTATGCTGTTTACCGGGCTTTTGCAGTATTTTAAGTCACTAACACAAAGTGTTTGTTTTCAAATTTTAAGGATCTGTGCAGCTTTTGGCAGTATCTTTGAGCGGAAGACTGCTTCGCGTGAACCTTCCTCAAGGATCTGAAAATGTTCCCAGGTTGCCCTCATCTCTGTCAGGCCAGAGAGTGAAAGACCTTCTGGCTTCCATCGCAAACATCTGGGAGAGGTCTGTTTCATGCTTCATCATTGAAAAGACTACTGGTTTTCTGGCGGCAAAAGCTAAATGTCACTTTTTGTTTATTTTGATTTATTTAAATTTTAGTTTATCTTATAATCATAGTTGTTCTTGAAAAAAA